TAACCAGAAGAGAAATGCAAAGTGGACATAGAACGGTCTTGAACAGAACGATCTAAGAATAAAAAGTTATAACTTAATTAAATCCATATTAATCAAAAGTAAATGATCCGAGTTATTTAGTCTGTACCTTTATATATATATATATATATATATATATATATATATATATATATATATATAAATGTAAAGAGTTCCTTTCATAGACAAAAACACATGCAGTAGACACATAGACGCACGCACGTTCACTTATGATTGATTCGAAAAAATTATAAAACTGTTTAATCAATTAAGTAAGAAATTTTATTATAATTAAAAATTAATTTTATTTTTAATTTAGGTTAAAAATAAATAAATAAATTAATAAATGAAATAAAATATATAATTGTACGTTAACATTGATAATTTTTGATAAAGTTTTTTTAACAGTTATTTCAGCTGTCATTAAATCAGAAAATAAATTTTTTGTTAAGGATTAAAACTAAAAAATAAATTAAATAATAAAGCTGATAAAAATTAAATTTAAAAATATATTACAATATAAAACTATTAGAATATTAGAATAGTGGAATATTCGAAGGAAATATTAAAATATTAAAAGTACACCAGGTATTTAGAAATTACTAATGCACGATTATTGTTTTACGAAAAGCAGTAACAATGTTCGCGAAAGTCGTCTAACAAAAAAAAAAAAAAAAAAAAAAAAGAATAAGAATAAAAGAAGGGAAGAGAAAGAAATAAAAGAATTTAATCGACATTCTAATTCCAGAAACATTTTGATAATATGCCGAAACACATGAATTTTAAATCTTTAACGAGACTATTCGATGAATGGTAACAACAGATATATATATATATATATAGAGAGAGAGAGACAGATATTTAGATAGATAAAAAGAGAGAGAGAAAGACAGACAGACAAATATATAAGTCAGAGACAGATTTTTATTTTATATTATTCTTACTATTATTATTCTTCTTTTGTTTTTCTAGAAACACGATTTTGGCGATACTGGAAAACATTGAATTAGACGGAACATGTAGAGATTCACTGCAACATGACCTCCAAATAGTTCCCAGCCAATTTTTCTTTTTTTCCTTATTTATCTAATAGTTTATTATACTTTAGTTATCATCGATATTGCATTTAAAATTACTGATATAATAATTAAAAAATTCAATAATAATGCAAAAAAATTATACGTTCGATAGAAACAATCGTAATTTTTTTTTATCTTTTTTGATTCCAAAAAAAATTGAATAAAATACAAAAAAAAGATATTAGTGAAAAATAAAATTGTATACTTGAGGAAAATGATTATAATATTACTTCAGAATATTTTTTTATCCTGTCTAATTTAAAAGAAGATTAAAAAAAAACAGAATAAGAAGGATAAAATAATAACTAACAAAAATTGTAAGTTCAATTGAAGAAGTTGTAATTTTATTTTTATTTCATTTTTTTTATTATATTTTAACAATTATAGCATCTTCAGAGATCAATCGATGCTGACATAACAATGTTATTGTCCATTCTTTTTATTATATTTTTTGTATCTGTGGATTATTAGAATGATTGGACATGCCTATGTCTTATAAAAGGAGTAATTTTTTTTATCTTTTATTTATTCATTAATTAATTTATTTTTTTTCTTTCATAAAATTTCATCATCGAAAATATTCCCACGATTGATGTAATGCAATTTTTCTCATAAAGTTTCGGTATCAAAACTATCCTCACGATTTACATAAATAATGTATATTTTTAATAATTTGCATAATTAATTTACATAATTAATAATTAAATACGATTGAATTGAATTTATTCTTGACTATAATCAGTTATTTCTGCAGTTTTGAACTTTGTAGAAATGGCATAAACGTTTCTTTTATTTGCTCATTTCAGTCATATTTTCCCGTTTTTAATTTTGTACCACAAAATCACGGCATATTGGTTTTATTAGAACGCATAATTCCAATGTTATGTGTTTTATTTTTAATTATTGTTAAAAATAGTTTAGGCAACACATATTAATTTCCAACATATAAAATAATTTATTGAAAATTGATTGTGACAATACAAATGAATAAAATATAATAAAAAGAATGGACAATACACATCCATGTGTATACATTTTTGAATTTTTGAATAAATGAATTTGTAATAACTTTTATTTTATGTAATCAGTCTGTATCGTTAACTGTATTATTTGTTAAATGCAGAAATATAGTAATTTGTAAAAATCTTATGAATGGTATAATATTTCTGAATATTGGCGATTATGTAATGATTCTGTCAGAGCGGTCATTTGAATTTTTATTTTTACTTTTGTTTTATCTTAATTATTATTATACATAATATAATTTTATTTCATCACAATTTACAGGAACTTAACACTTTGCGTGCCACTGTCTCGCTGACGTGACTTTTTCTCGCCAACGGTTATCGGCTGCTGTCACGTACGCGTGACTTATTTTCGTCAACGATGATGCTTCATATCGATGTTTGTATGGGTTGACATACTATTGCAAAGCAACATTTGACGTTCAAGGAACATTGGTTACAACTGTATTCCCCTCCCAATTCACCAGACTATCTTTTATTGAAATCTTTTTTGAGGACGTTTATTTTGTTAGTTTGAGACTGTCTTTCGCTGCCTTCAAATTTCGCTGCCGTTAATTTTAGTACAAGTTTTAAAATACCCTTCAAAATGCTCTACGATGAGGAAATACATGCTGATCTGTTATCAGAAGAGGATAATTGCTCTGATAGTGAAAGTGATTCGGACAGTGGGAGCGATATAATTGTGAGACGATTCGAAAATAAGGGAAGACCAATAATTAGTGAATCTGAAAGTGATGAATAGAATTCTGTGGCAAATGATTGGTCAGAAGTTGATTTTAAACCTGACTTTCATGCTTGCCTGGAACAGTCTGGGTTACAGGTACCATGCACACCGGATATATTATCAACTGTGGAATTGTTCATTGGGAATGATTTATTTAATTTGTTTGTCACACAAACAAACTTATATCATAATCAGCAGAATAATGATAAGAACAATGCATCAACAAAGAATAAAACTTGGGTTGATACAAATGTTGTAGAAATGAAAAAATTTTTGGGCCTTGTTATCCTAATAGGGATAGTAAAGAAGCCAGAACAAGACGATTATTGGTCTACTCACCCTGGATTACATTCACCTATTTTTGGGAATACAATGCCAAGAAACCGATTTCAGCAGTTATGGTAGTATTGGCACTTCAGCAATAATGAGCATTGCCAAGAAAGGCTTGATAAGATAAAACCAGTCTACACAAACTTGGTAGAAAAGTTTCAAAAAATTTATAAACCCAAGAAAGAATTATCACTGAATGAAGGTATCATTCCATGGAGGGGCAGGCTATATTTTCGTACATATAAACCTGCGATAATTATAAAATACTGAATTTTAGTCCGTATGGTGTATAAGGCGACATCTGGTTATATATGAAATTTAGAAATATATTGCGCGCAAGGAAAATCGATAAGTGCGACAATATTATCCGTACTATCGCCATATTTAATTTTATGGCACGATGTATATATGGACAACTATTACTACAGTGTAGAAGTTGCAGAGGAGTTACTAAAGCATAAAACAAACATCTGTGGCACAATTAAAGCAAACAGAGGAGTGCCAAATTGTTTAAAATCTGCTACATTGAAAGAGAAGTCAATGGAATTTCATAGAAAAGGGAAGATTTTGGTACAAAAATGGAATTCGGCCAAAAAATTGATAACGATGATTTCTACGATACATTCAGCAGACATGGTCGAATATGTGAGTAAAAGAAAAAAAAAAAGAACATGAAACCAATTTGCATACGGGAGTATAATAAATTTATGAAAGGTGTTGAACACGCCGATCAATACCTATCGTATTATTCCATACTTCGCAAAACAAAAAAATGGACCAAAAAAACGGTTTCATACCTCATAAACTGTGCATTACTCAACGCGTACCTGATATGCATAAAGAATTTCGAAAATCCTATTAGATTCAAACAATTTTTACTAAATCTTGCACTAACATGGATTAATGGAAATAAAGAGGAGCAACAATCAAGATTGGCTGCTCAAAGTAATAAAAGATCGCCAAGGTATGATCGACCAGACAGGTTTACCGCGGACATGAGGAAACATAGTATAACACGTATTAGTGGTAATGGGAGAATTCAAAACCCGCGAAGGGCTTGTAAAGTCTGCACTGCCGCCAGGAAAAGAAGTTCCACTGCATATATGTGTTCTTCCTGCAACGTTCCTCTGCATGTTGGAAAATGTTTTGAAAATTATGATACTAAAATGAACTATGAATCTTAGGAATTAAATTTTTTAAATAAAATGTTTTAGTATTAATTAAAAAATATAAAACTATGGAATAAAAATAGTGTAACAGTTATTTTAGTGCCTTCTTCAATAATAATTATATTTCAAGTACTTATGTTGCGAAAAATTGAGTAAATATCACCGTTGGCGAACAGTAGGTTCTGCGCGAATCTCGCCGGCAACAGCGTAACGGCGGTTCGATAAATGCGCGGCCGGCAAAATGTTAAGTCGCGTTACGATTTTGTTTATTTTATTTTCATCGTTTATATTATATTTTTAGCATAAAAATTCATTTTCATTTTAATAACTTCTTGAAACATATTATTAAATGTCATATAAAAAACGTTTAACTTGCTATAGTTTTTATCAGACCAGCCTAAAGTAGTTTACACGTTGTTCGTCATGGTGTTCATATGTGACCGCAGATTGTTTCTCCTGTATTATCACAGTTAATTATCAGTGACCGCAGTACTGTAGTAAATGTTTATAAATGTAAAAATTGAATGAATATTGACAGTAAATGAATTTTGAACATCATCGCTAATTAAAATATATTCAGCAATAAAATGTGCACTGTTCAACAATTGAAAATTTTTATTAGAAGATCAAAAATGAAAAATTAATTTTCATCAAATCATCTTTCGGTGTATTGTACTAAAGCATATCAAACATAAATGTAGCTGATCAATATAATCTGAGCAGTATATGGTAACCTTTTATGTCTGAGTTTTAGCTGTCTTTGTTCCAAAACTTGCAAAATTTTTTTGGTAACATTGTAAAATTTTCGCATCAGGTATGCTAGTCTTTCCTTCTTTTACATTTCATCGTTTACTCTTCTTCGGATAGATATATTTGATGGCCTTAGTGTTTCTCAATCATGGCACTGTGTTAGATGCATTTGATTCCCCTTGCTTTCTTTTTGATTTTTTCTCCACAATTACCACGTATATTGCACAGACGATTAATACAATTTAAATATACTTCTGTTGAAGTGGTTGACGGTAAATTTGTGATTTCTAACTTTTCCGTTGTGGTCGGTAAAAAGCTAAAATAAGTTTTCATAAAGATTAAATCTTGTGTAAGTTTTTTTTATTAAACTATATCTTTTGCAATCTTAATTACTGTAACATTTATTATATTAAAATTTTCAACTACTATTAACATAAAAAATAGAATAAATACGTATGCATATACAAAAAACTTTTTCTTACCAAATGATTGCATATTACTTATATTTCTTATTTCATCAAAATGTTCGTTATAAAATAGTGCAATTTCAATTTACGTATTCCATCTAATTAAAATAGATTCTAATGGCAAAAGAATATTTTGTAATCTTTAATTATACACTTCAATATTTTGAATATTCAGAAAATTAAATTTTGATGGTAAAGAAATATTTTACAAAATACGATAGGATTAAGTAAACGGAACAAAATTTTGGCTTCTAAATGAAAGATAATATTTACGTGTGTAAAGTTGATAACGGTACAAAACTGATATTTCCTAAAATCCCAATTTGTAAATTTCGAGAGCGATTGTTACGACCCGCTCGTTACGGGCCTCAAAAAAAAATATTACAAAGAAATTTTTCGAGGAGCCCCTACCTGGCGCGAGATTAGTATCTTTTTGGCCCTTACCTGCTATGTGGCTCGAGATTGGTATACAAGCACACACAGAATGACTCGAGACACGACACTTGCGAAAAAAATGGATGCACTTACCTTGTTTCGTGATCGCCGTAAATTCCGCTTCGATCCTCAAATTCCTGGGTGTTCGCGGGTCATGAGGTGGTAAATGAACTATTGATACAGGCTTCCTGTTGAACGTAATCGAGATGAGACGGTAAGGCCCTTCGTTCTCCTTGCTCGCTTCCTTGCTGCCATAGATCCCGATGACATCGGTAAAGTACATATGGATATCATATAACTTCGCGAGAAGACGGTACAAAAGATAATTCCTATCGGCACGACTCGTTCCCGGCATACGTGAGTATGTAGAAAGTATAACTTGGAGGTTTTCAGGCTGAATAGTAAGGAGGATTGTAGGAAGTTGTCTTCTGCTCGTGCGATTTGTACGCACCTCTGACGAAAGTATAACTTCGAAGTTTTGACGAAGAAGTAACCTCCGAGAAGTGAAAGGCAGAATGACCATTCTACACGGCTTATATACTCTATTGAACTGCGGTAGGCGGCTCGGGATGCCGACGCTGCCGAGAATGGTGGGGCTGCCACCGTCGTGAACCATGGTGGGGAGCGCAGCATCTGTGTATGGTGGGAAGAGAATTTCCAGCCGTTCGGAGCATTCTATCCCGAGTCTGCTGATTCTCGCTCTTTTCCTCTTTCTCTTTCCCTCTGAGGAACACATTTGTGACACGCTGCTTTTCTACATCTGAAATACATCTGTGTCTCACTGCCTTTTCACTTTCTCTTTCTGTCCTTCCCATTGTATTAGTATTATATCTTTATAATAGTTTAGTTATAAGACTACGAGTGCTTAAGCGCTAAGGTATCTCTTTTACTTACTATCGTGTGTTTTATAAGAGAATTAGTTTGTTTTATTTACGACTCCCCTTACGTCGGGCTCAAATATGTCATATAATGGTGTTAGTGATTGATGGAAATAAGTTTCTTAAAACTTGTATTGTCCTTTAGAATAATAAAGAGATTGTAATGTATGTAAAGGTGTATCCCCATTTTATATCATATGCGTATTACATTGATATGATGACTCCCTATATGGTGGACACGAGGAAATAAAAATTATGCGTCTTTTGCTAAGTGTAAGAGTGGCATCGGGCATAACACTTTATAAACCAACAGCTGACTGCCGTATCTAGAGGGCGTCAGCAGCTGTAAACTAATAAATGATTGCCGCGTATATGCGGTGTCAGCCTCCGTCGGCCGAAAAGTGACTATCGTATGTAGACGACGTCAGCTGCTGTGATGCACCAAGTGATTGCCGTATATAGACGTTACCCCTCGCGAAAGGGTTAAGATTATTTGTAAGTTCACCAGCGATGTTTACTGCACTTATCTTTGGATTTTGTTTTATTTTTCAAATTATGCATCGGTTAGTGTACTAATTTATTTTGATTTTACATTTGTTTCGTGGATTATCCATATCTATCAATGATTCTTGGAATCGTGAACTATGGTGATCTACCTACCAATTTTAGAAATTTCTCCCAGAGTTTTGTACTTATTATATAAATATATAATAATTTCCTTGTATATAAATAAAGATTACACGTGCTTGTGAATGTATTTGATATTACTTATTATATAAATATCAACTTATAATAGGATATTTATATAATTACAATAAACAAAAGATATTTATTATATAAATTTCCTATGAACTATATATGAGCTATAAAATTTTCCGATATTGTAAACGGGTCAGTTCTTTCTCATTTTTGTTGTATTGTACATATTTATTGAGGATTTATACTTTCATGGTCCCATCCAGCAGAAAAAAGGTTTGCGCCACCACCTCAAAAAGTAATAACTGAATGCATTTTGATCAGCTTGATCAACACCACTCATCGACTTTTGTGAAACTGATAACTACACTTGACTTTTCGATTACTTCTTCTATGTCTCCTATATACATCTTTTAGTGGTTATTATTCCAGCATTATGCAAATTGCTCAATAATGATACTATTCTCTTAATCTTCCAAACTAAAAACATTGTATTTTCCTTTTTGTATGCGACAGTCCTGCTCTTATAAAATTTTGCTTTCTTCAGAGTTGTCGGGACACCTTTTTTATTTGTTCTTACGGTACCGGTTAAGTGACACTTCATTCTTTTTAATTTTTCAGCTAAGCATACACTAGTATAATAACTGTGGATGTGAATGTGATATCCTTTTCGGTAGGTACTTTATCTAATAACTGTTGATACAGATGCAGGACAATTCTAATGTTAATCTGGCCTCGAAAGATTTTCGGAAGTGATACTTCCGTAATATGGAAGAATGCTATATACATATCTGAATCTGCTAAAACGTATATTCGAATGCTCCACTTGGTAGGTTTATTGGGATTATATGTAAAAATAAAACTTATTTTCTACTTAAATTTTACTACGAATTCATCAACGCAAATATTTTCTTCAGTTATGAAATGTTCGGCAAATTTCGTATTTATATATTCTAAAAAATTAGTTGCTCGTTGAATACGACTTCTAATATCATTTCTCGTAAAAATAGTTGTTTTTAAATGTAACATCCAAAATATTTGAACTAATGCTAAAATTCAATATATTAGTTGTATATTCAAAAAAAATTTATATTGAAACGTATTGTGCAAGTTGTATGATATATTTGTAGCTTTACTTATAATTATATATATTTAAATATTATTCATTATGAAAATAATGAAATTTCAATACAGTTTAATAACATGATGAAAGGAAATATGAAAATCAATAAATACATTACTGGTAATGATACCAGTAGGGAAAATAATATATTTTCCAACAATTATACAGAAATAGTTGATAATCAGTCAGAAATTATTTCTCAAGCAAAGTTACAATTAATATATAATATAAAAATTTATAAAATATTTAAATAAAACTTTTAAATAAAATAATTAAAAAAAAAACATGAGCAACTTTAAACATAAATCTGATTGTTTTGATTAAATGGAAGTAGGAAAGTGGGTACTTTCAAAGAAAAAATGAAAAATACAACTGAGATTAAAAGCGAAATAGAAGACAGTAATAAATGATTAAACGATTTGATATTGCAAGTGGAAGAATTAGATCAAATTTACGCAGATACATATACAAAATTGTTACAAGCTGCCCTTGATCAAAATTTGGTTGAACGATTTATGGATATTGATATTTCTGATAATCAAATCTAAAAGTCTTTAAATGACTATGAAAAATCCAATAGAGTTATTTGATATACCTAATCAAAGAAAATACGAAAATGTATAAACTCCAAAACAGGATTTGTGTGTGTTAGTTTCTTTATCAATGGCAGCGAAAGAAGACATAACACAAAAATTAAAAAAAGGATTATTTCTCCTACCATGTAAACATTTACGTAAAATATCTTCGATGCTTGTTCTACCATGAGTTACACCCTCTCCAACTAATAATCAAATCTTCTTCTGAAGCTCCAAATTTTAAGTTCCAAGAATTTATCATCTCTTCCTGGTGCTTTACCTAAAGAATCAAGTCTTTTTTCTAAACTATTTAAGAAGAAAAAGAAAAAAACAAAGATATCACTTCCAGTATACCCACAGGCACTAATAATCGTTTGTTTAATGCACGCAAAAATGACTCGTTTCTGTGTAAAAGTATTCAAGATAATTCTGTAACACAAATGCATAGACGTAGTATCTCAAGTATAAATAGTATTAAATTTCTTACATTAGAAAGTAATGAAATACCATCTTATGGGCCTGATTTGACTGAAGTCAAGCACTATGTTCTTTATACTACTAGGGCAACACATACAAGAGCATCTGAATTCAATGAAATGTCTTTTTATAATAGTCCTATGAAGGGAGAAAAAATATTAACAGAAACAAAAAGATCTTAATCTTCGATAGAAAAATATTAATTGTCTATTTTATTTCTTTTTCTTTTTTTTTTCGAAGTGTACTGCCATTGAAAGTGTTATATACCTTCTTCCTTATATTATAATCGCATTAAAAATATTCAAACCATGGCAAAGATTATATTATATTATTGCGACATTATCGAATTTTATAGCATGAAATACTTTTACGAAACATTTCTGCTTTCAATGACGTATTTTCATGCTATAATATAACTTTATCATCAAGCAGAACTTTTTGGAAAAATATATCTAAAACTTTTTTTGAATTTTACTAATTTGATGTCATTTGCCGCATTTGTTTGTGCAGTTCAAATACTTGCATATTCTTATTTTTATAAATAAAAAAAATCGTTTTATATATAACGTTTTAGACGCGGTTAGGTAATGGTATAAATCGTTAATGCCTCCAATTAAACTTGCTGTTTGTTATGAAAGAAAGTATAAACCATATCTAATCGAGTTTTTTGGTCTGGTTGAGAATATTAAATTTGTCAAATTATTACTACTTAATATTTATAATATGTTATGTTTAATATACTATTGCAATGTTTTTGTTGCTTATATAATTTAATATCATAATTATTTTATTACCTATTATATAAGATTTTACAAAATTTTTTATATATTTCTAGATCATTTATAGATTTTATAGGATATGGTTTTCGTTTGTTAATAGAAAAAATTTTAGTGAACAATTAACAGGACATTAAAATATATGGTATCTTTGTAAAAAAAAATTAAATTTTCTTCTTAGAATAACCGTACATTAATATACAAAACTTTCTAGATGATCGTGATTCGTTCAGGCGAAAGAGACAAAAATTTAATAAGAGCCCAAGAGCGATAGTCTTGAAACATATACATTATGCAAAAATTACTTAGATGATTGCTATAATTCAAGTATTAAGACCATTAGGGAAGAAAACATTACATGTGGATTTCTGTAAACGAAACGACCAATGCAATAGGGCAATACATTGCAAATTTAATAGTAGCATAGCTTTGTGAGGATGAAACGACAAAATTACACTTATTGTGTTCTAAAATAACAGAAGAAATAAATTATGCAACTATATTTCACTTTATAAATTCAGTCTTAAGAATTCTGTTATCAAACGATAGTGAATTATTGACAACGAATGCAGCATCATACATAGTATGCGGAAGAAGCAGGGAAAAAATTGAAATTATTTTGTGCGAACATGATACATGTTACATATGTAGTGCCTAGTCTACACAGGATAGCTGAAGGAGTGCAATCCTGTTTTCCAATTATTAATATATTAATATCATCTGTGAAGAAAATATTTTTAAAAACACTACTTCGTATTGAAGCGTTCTATAAATAAATATCCTTATAGTGAGAATCATTGATCTTCAAAATAGCCACTAATCGTAGATTCTATCTCTTCATAGCAAATCTTTTACCACCGAGCCATTTCTTCAAGTTTAGAAATAGAAAATAACACGTGGGAATTAAATCTGGCGAATAGGGTGCGTGAGAAAGCAATTCGAACTTTAACACATTAATTCTGGCCATTTGTAGTTCACATATTCAATAACGGATGTGTGAACTAATGTGTTGTCTTTCAACAAAACTTTCTTTTTCGTCAAATGCGTCCGTTTTTTCTTGATTTCATCATTCAAACGCTGCTATAAGTTTGTATAATACTCGCCATTGATTGTTTTCTTTTCTGAAGATAATCAATGAAAATTATCCCATGCACATCCTAAAAAACTGACGCCATGACCTTGTCTACACATGGAATTACCTTCGCCGTCTTTGGAGCCGATTCTCGTCTTTCAGT